CTGAACTAAGCCAGGTAGCGATTTGTTTGACAACTCTGACATGTATCAACTAGTCTAGCATCAACCCTCGAGTGCCCATCATGCCAGGGACTATGAGATAACAAGCCATCTGGCCATGGCAACCGACAACAGGGGGCTATGGTCAGACCAGTTTAGAAACATGCAGGGGGTTGTTGCAGGTGTCGTAAAGTTTAGAATGTGGCCGGGAATTCGGATTTTACACAGTTCTGCACGTTGTGAGGTGAACTATCTCACTCATATTACACTCTTATGTAGGAGAGCAAGGAATTTCTTCACACTGCAGCCCCCCCCCACCCCTATCATCTACCACCCCTTTCATCTCCCACCCCCACCATCTCCCACCCCCACCATCTCCCACCCCTATCATCTCCCACCCCCATCATCTCTCACCCCTATCATCTCCCACCCCTTTCATCTCCCACCCCCACCATCTCCCACCCCCACCATCTCCTACCCCTATCATCTCCCACCCCCATCATCTCTCACCCCTATCATCTCCCACCCCTTTCATCTCCCACCCCCACCATCTCCCACCCCCACCATCTCCCACCCCTATCATCTCCCACCCCCATCATCTCCCACCCTCATCATCTCCCACCCCTACCATCTCCCACCCCCATCATCTCTCACCCCTATCATCTCCCACCCCTTTCATCTCCCACCCCCACCATCTCCCACCCCACCATCTCCCACCCCACCATCTCCCACCATCTCCCACCCCCACCATCTCCCACCCCCACCATCTCCCACCCCCATCATCTCCCACCCCCATCATCTCCCACCCCATCATCTCCCACCCCCATCATCTCCCACCCCATCATCTCCCGATCCTTTCTCCTTTCCGTATTTCATATTGCGGCGATGGAAAGGGACCAAACTTTGAATTGATAACTGTACCGCATCGTGCAACAATGTCAGCCGTTAAACGAGTTTGCTCCTGCTGTTATCGTGTATTTGTCTTGTCCAGGTTGCATCTGCGCTGCCTCCATCCTGTACCGGCACTGCTTCTAACGGCTTTAACGTCGTTGGCCAGCAGTACACTCTACCAGGCATTGGCCCTGCATTTGGGCAGGACAATGTAGGAACGGCAATGGAGGATGGCATGGATTCGTCTGACAAGGGCTACTCTTCTGGACCTATGGCTACTCTTGCCACCATTGCTGGTGACGTTGAGCTGGAGCCGATGTCAATGCAATCTTCTGGCCCGCAGGTAAGCCGCTTCAAAGTGCCCCGACCACGGAAGGACCTGGTGATGGGGTGCTCTCGCTGTACTTTTCGGTAAATCCAATTGCCACTGGCCTTGCTTGTTCCCACCCCCTGTTCATTAATGCCAATCCATTCAGTGGTCACTGCTTCAACCTCCTCCCCCCCCCCCCCTCCCCCCCTCCCCCCCCTCCCCATCCCCCCCTCCTCCCTCTCCCGTGATGTCAGTTCCCACACTAGCATGCGAGGGCCTGGGGTGGGTTCTGGTATAAAGGGGTTGCTGCCACATTATTTTGGTACGGAAATACAAGAGGCTAGGTAGACTGCTGTACTGTAACTTGAAGTTTCACACGCTGAGCGACCATCAAACAGCACCAACAGACAGCACCATCAAACAGCACCAACAAACAGCACCATCAAACAGCACCAACAGACAGCACCATCAAACAGCACCAACAAACAGCACCATCAAACAGCACCAACAGACAGGACCATCAAACAGCACCATCAGACAGCGAAACACTGTCCCCATTGTCACAGGTAATTTTTTTGCCGCTCTCCACTCAGATGCAGGTGTGTGGAGCACTCATTCGAGATACCCCGGCCAGCCCTGATTCACGGTGTAGGCATAGCACGTTCAGCAGCATGGGTACATCAGTTAAAGCCATGTCGGAATGTTTTTTTTGTGGGGCGTGTGTGTGTGTGTGGGGGGGGGGGGGGGTGGTGTAGGGGGTGTTTGAGTACCGAAAGCAACCCCCAGCCGCCTGGTGCTTAGCTGCCTAACACCGAAGTGGAACTTGTCGAACTATTGACACTTGCATGAGACGTACAGGTTCCTGGCATCATTTTTGGCAGTCACGTGAAGCTACAGTTTCATACGTTTTTTTAATCTCCACAAATGCCTTTTAATTTCTTTAGGGGACGACAATTGGGGCTGGGCATTGTGAGTGGTCGCATCTTCAAGGCTACATTGTCCCGTGTTCTGCGTGTGATTATTCTATGCAATTCCTTGTAGGGGCTATTACCAAACAACACCACTCCAACTGGAATTCTTCCACTGGGTGGCTCTGCATCTTGCAATAATGGTGGTGGTGTGAATGGAGCTCCATTTCAACCATATGCTCAAACCAATGGCAATGGTTCAATGGCTTTCAATACCACCACTAACACTAGCGATCCTCGCACCACCCATAATCAGGTTCGTATGTGAGCGATCGTTGTTGTCTCTCTGTGTCTCTGTGTCTCTGTCCGTCTGTTTTGTTTTCGCCTTGCTACCAGCAAGGCAGCAGTGGTGTTGTTTCTGTCGCATTCTGTACTCTCTCTATTCTGCACTCAGGGTCCACAAACAGTCCATACTGTGAGCACGGCTGCATTCTCTTGCAGCAGCAGTAGCGACAACATCAACAACATAAGCAGTGGGAGTGGCGCGTCCGATGCGGACACTGCCCTGCCTAATGTGAATCAAATTGACCGGCGTCTGTTGGTCTCCCAATCCGGTATTTACCAAGGCGGTGGATCCAGCTTCAATGTCGGTACTGTGCCAGTGGCCAACCATATGATTAAACCAGCACATGCTGTAATGCCTGGATCAAACACAAGCATCTCTGTTCACCCAGTTCCTAACAGTCAGGTACTTTGTATGCTCCTGTGTGTCTATATGCGTGCGCGTGTGTTTGCGTACGTGCATGTGTGTGTCCATGGGCAGAGGTGCTGAGGATGCTGAAGCAGTGAAATAAATCATGCATGCTTTCTGAAGACCAGAACAACTGCGCACTTGTTGCAAAGGTCGTTTATAACAGCTTCCTCGACAAGTACAGAATGAGATACTGACTTGTTTCCGTGTCCCAAATTCAGGGCTCACGGTTGTGTACAAATACGTGGGCGCCATTTTGTTTCTGGCCAGCTCACGCGACGACAGGTCGACTGTCACGCGACCACAGCTCGACCACCCCTTGTACACAAACTCTAGCCATCTCGCAGCGCATTTTCAGTGCGACACATGCCTCTTCAAAATAGAATAAGGTAGCACGAGTAGACAGTACGACACTGAAAATTTGGGTGGAACCAGGCAAGATGTGAACTAGGGGTTCAACCGAAGGAATTTTTGATTTTGGCACTGGGAAACTAAAGATATGGTCACAAAGTCCGTGAATGCTCTACAGCGATCCCTTCATCTAGGAAAAAATCGCTTCGGTTAAACTGTAGCCTAGTGTCTCCTGAAGATTTTGAGCCATCGATTGTCAAAATCGGCCAATATTGTGCTACCTTATACTGTTTTGAAGTGAGCTAAGTCGGCAGGGGCGCACACGAACTCCCGTGCGCGACGACAAGGAAGGAAGCCCGTGCATATGCGTTGTACGATGCGGAAACTACACCAGCGAGGCAGCAGCAAGGCGTTTTTTGCAATGCTTCTTCCGTGACTGACAAACTCTTGAAATACTATTGACCGTTTGCTGTCTCGCTCATCGGCGCAGTACTGCTGTGTGCTTCAGCAGCTATGGCGAACCGAAAATACATGACCAGTACAACGGCGAAGCCATTTGATTTGTCCTCTTGCAACGAAAGAGAGTGGCAAATCAAATAATTCACAACTCTCCATCGTCACTTCTCACAGCAGCGTGGCACGGCTCTTTCACTCGTGTAAGTGCATTTACAAAACGCTCTGAGAACAGAGATAACGAACTAGAACACGGTGTGACTTTTTGCTTCATTCCATCAAGGAGCTCTTGTCCTCTACCTCTCCTCACCTGCGCCAGTGCATCAGCGGACGACATAGATGTCGATCTCTTTCTCAGCAAAGACTCGGCGGCAGAACTCGCGACTTCTCATCGCAGGACTCAGCGTGCGAACGAACTGTCTGAAGCCTTCGGCTTACGAGGCCAGCACTGCTCGCAACACACTCGCTCGGAAAGAAGCAATAACAACGACAGTGAACGGCAACCAAAGTGAAACGCAAGTCCCCAGCCGATCTCCGTCTTCCTCAGTTCTACTTCTTCTTGTCAGTCACCAGGTCACTGCAACTCTCTCTCTCTCGAGTCCTTGCTGTGCTCCGCGCCGCGTAGGCATGCACTGCCGCGTGCATAGCTCGAGTCACGCGAGCTCATTTCTATGGTGATCAGATTTCAAGATGTCCTCCCACGTAATCGAGTTTTGGCATCCCAACCGTGAGCCCTGAAATTGGGCCGAGCTGGCTGGGAATTGCGATGTGTTTGGCAATGAGTTTATACCGAGTTGAAGCTGTTATGAACTTGTTAGCTTTCAGTGTAGGAGTTTCCTGACCACGTCCATGTCTTGTCTTTTTGTTTGCCCAAACTACTCCAGGACAACTTCAAGCCGCCTGATGAATTGGACACAGCCTTCATCAACAGTCAGCCTCCCGGCTGCAACAATGGTTCCATGTTGCATGCTGCCGTCTCGAAGTCACACACTGGAATGGTAGCTACCATCGAGACAGTTGTTTCACTGCCGATAAACGATCGGTCATCTCTGGCTGGCCAACAACAGCAGCAGCAGCAACAACAACAACAGGAACAGTTGCAGCATCACCAGCAACAGCAAAATCAGCATGAGCAGCTGCGGCAGCAGCAGCAGCGGAATTCGCTCGGTGTAGGCCTGCACGAATGCCCCATACTATCCGACAATGAGATTGAAGATTTACTTGGACGTATGGAACCGGATGTGAGTTGACCTGGCCTGTGTGTGTGTGTGTGTGTTTGTGAGTCTCTGTGTTGTGTGCTTGCGAGTCTGTGTGTTGTGTGTTTGCAAGTCTGTGTTCGTTTGTGTGCGTGTGTGCGGGCGCGCGGTTGTGTCTGTGTGAACTTTCTTATACATGTAATATTATAATTATTTTCTGGGTTTTCTCTCTTTAGGGGTCTGACTGGGTTCTCTTTCTTGTGCTTTGTCATTGTGCTGTGTTGTTCTCTGTGACCAGTCTAGAGAGGCAAGGCACATAGCTAGTTCAGGACAATGTGGGCCTCACATTACGACTCCGTCGTTGCCGGCAGGTAATGACGATGGAATTCACCCCTTCTCGGCGATGGAATTCAACCCTACAGAAGTGCCTCGCAGTGCCCCCATGGCGGCTGCATCTGTTGCTGCTGCTGCTTCTGCAGTCAGTACCCCACACAGACATAGTGTGGAGGAAGTCCAAGGTAAGACCAGGGCCAGTGAGGATGAACAGCTGTCTGGACAGTGAGTATGAACAGCTGTCTGGACAGTGAGTATGAACAGCTGTCTGGACAGTGAGTATGAACAGCTGTCTGGACGGTGAGTATGAACAGCTGTCTGGACGGTCTGAAGCAGGGTTTCTCTGTTGCCCGAGTTTCCTTTTCGTGCCAAGCACTGTAAAGAAACGGGGATCTATCCAGTACTACTTCGAAATAAAAACTACAAAAAATTCCAGATTTACCAGTAGCTAGTGTCGGATGATCGCCTCATGCGTGAAACTCGGAGTTGCAACGCAGTTGTAGCATGGCTACTTTACACGTAATTTGTATACACATAAATAGTACACCGTAGGAATGCATGGATAGGCTGTGCGCATACTCGCACTGCCTGGTCTTCTTCTTCTCCTTGTGAGACAATGAACGAATATTGATAACTACTTACGTAACAACAAGTATGTGCTTTGAGTGCTGAGAGTACACGAGTTACAATGGTGGCAGCGGAAAAATAGTCGTCGGTTTTGTCCACGGCTGGGAAGACGCCTCCGCAGGAGAGACAAGTTGCAGAGTCGACAAGTTCCAGAGAGTCTGAGACCAGTTCCAGCTACTCGGGAGACCAGCCCACAGACTAAGTTCTAATTTACTAGTATTGATCATTCTAGCCTTCGTCTCGTTTTCCATTCTTTACTCCTTGACTGATCGTTCGCTGTACGTGCATGAGTAACAGTTTTGTTTGGTGTAGAAAGGGCTACATTTTCACAAAAATATTTTGCGCACATGAGTGTGCGTGCATACTTAGCAAGTACACTGTTGACGTCATGTCCTGTGCACGTGTACGACCGTGTGACGTAACCAGAATGTTTTGTGTAGGTCAATTTTTTTTGTAACATTTTCAAAAGTTTTTTTGAACTACAAATGTTTGTAGATTGGGCCATTGCTAGTGAGATATCGAGATGGGCAAGTCCAAAGGCAGAAAGAAGACCAGGTCCCCTCGACCTCGTCCGTTCAAGGTACCGTCTGACGAACATGCCAGTGCATCAGAGTTGCACCAGTCTAATGACACCGGAGTGCGTGATCAACTAGCTCAGGCGCTCGAGAAACTTGATCGCAGGTTGACCGACCTCGAAAAGAGACTCAGCTGTTTGGAAATTGTTGCTCCACGCACACAGGTTCCTGTAGGAGCAAGTTTCGAATTTGATCAGCCTCATAGTAGTAGCAGTGGTCGTGGACATTCGTATGGTCGTGGAGGTCAGGTGGAACCACCGATTTGTTGTGGTTGTGGACAACCTGGCCATTTTGCTCTAGATTGCCCACACAACCCTTGGCGCTCGGGAAACTGAGTATGACTGGTGGTGTGGGACAACTCCCAGTCGTTCACGAGGAGCCATCAGATGCAGTACGTATCGAGGCTGTATCGTCAGTCCCTACGCTAGATCTCCATGTTCAAGGCAAGTGTGTAACGGCGTTAATTGACTCTGGTTCCTGTGTTTCTATGTTGCATGAGCAAACATTTTTGTCCACGTATGGTGATGTGCCCTTGCAAGCTGCTCCCCGTTTGTGTGCGGCTAATGGTGAGGGACTCCAGGTTCTGGGTGCTGTGGATATTGTATGCTGCATTGGAGAGCGTTCATTCTTGCATACATTTGTAGTGTCTCCTGATATCCGCCGTGATATGATATTGGGATCTGATTTCTTGTTTGACCATGGAGCATTATTGAACATTGCTCAAGGCACACTAACTTTTAATGATCTGTCAGCCCTGCTAGGCGTGAAAGCTACTAGTGTTGGTCCATCAGAGCCCAGTCCGGTTGTTGCGGCGGACGCTAAACCGCTATCTGACTCTTGGAGTAATGATAGTAATTCTGAGGAAGACCCGGGCACGTACTATTCCCGTGTCACTGTTTGTAGTAAATTAACTCTGCCTGCCGGCCATGTCGTGCTGGTCCCGTGCAAGTCGGTGCAAGAGGCATCTGTCACTGTGGATTGTGTTGCTGTTCCACTGGACTCATTCTTGTTAAAGTTTCCAGATGTGTCTGTGACCCCCAGTGTGGTTACGGTTGGACCTGGCAGGTCCGGTGCGGTAGTTGTGTTGGAGAATCACTCTGACTACCCAGTACAAATTGCTACAGATGTTGATATTGCAGAATTATCTCCTGTACCCGATAACTTGATTGGAGAGGATGATGATCCTGCTGATTCATCTGTTGCGGATATGCAACCGTTTGTGCTATCCCCTGAACGTGCCGAGATAATCCGTACGTATGCTGACTCTCAGAGTCATCTGTCAGTACCTGAGAAGAGCACACTTACAGAGATTCTCCGGGAGAATCATGACTTGTTTATCTTGCAGGAGGGTGATTTTGGTCATTGTGATGTTTTCCCACATCGTATTAGTACTGGTGAGACAAAGCCAGTTAAGCAGCCTACGCGTCGTGTACCCTACCACCGCCGGCAGGCTTTACAAGCTTTGCTGGATGATCTGTTGGCCCGTGGTATAATCACAGAGTCTATTAGTCCCTGGGCGTCACCCATAGTTCTCGTTCCAAAGAAGGACGGATCTCTTCGATTGTGTATCGACTACCGCAAGTTGAACAGTGTTACGGAGCCAGATGCGTACCCCATCCCACGAGTTGATGACATGCTAGACTCACTCTCCGGCTGTTCCTGGTTCACTTGCCTGGATTTAGCTTCAGGTTATTGGCAGATCGCTATGGACGAGGAAGATAAGGCCAAGACTGCCTTTACCACACCGTTGGGTTTGTTCGAGTTCTCCGTGATGCCAATGGGATGTCGAAATGGTCCGGCAACTTTCCAGCGTGTGATGGAAGCGGTGCTTCATGGCTTATGCAATGTGCCGACCCAGCCATTCTGTCGCGTTTTCTTCGACGATGTGCTGAATGCCAGTTCTACCTTGACTGGACAGCTCCAGATCCTCAAGTCGGTGTTTGACCGCGTTCGTGCTGCTGGACTGATGTTCAACTTGAAGAAATGTTCGTTTTTCCAACGAAAAGTGCTCTTCCTCGGTCATCAGGTTTCGGCTGACGGATTGGCTCCGGATCCGGCCAAAGTTGAAGCTATCGAGCAGTGGGCTGTACCGAAGTCAGTGAGAGATGTACGTGTGTTTCTGGGTTACGCTGGGTACTACCGTCGGTTCATCCGTGGCTTTGCTCAGCGCTCTGCACCCCTGACTGCTCTATCAGGGAAGAATGCCAGCTTTATGTGGACAAAGAGTTGTGATGCGGCATTCACCTCTCTGAAACGGTCACTGACAACAGCCCCCGTGTTGGCGTATCCTGACTTTTCTGTTTCGTCTGGCGGCTTTATTTTGGACACTGACGCTAGCAAGGTGGCCATTGGAGCTGTCCTCAGCCAAATGCAAGATGGCGAGGAACGCCCCATTGCGTTCGGCAGCTGGGTCTTGACGAAGGCAGAGAGGAATTATGATGCCTCAGACCGGGAAACGCTTGCCCTTGTCCATTTCGCGAATCAGTTCCGGCACTATTTGCTTGGTCAGAAGTTTATTGCCCGCACAGATAACACTGCCCTCACCGCACTGATGTCCGTGAAGGAACCACGCGGTCGAAAAGCTCGATGGGTGGAGCAACTCGCTGAGTACACCTTCACTATTGTTCACCGGCCGGGTCGGCAGCACTTGAATGCAGATGGTCTGTCGCGTTCCTTGTTGCCGGAGGTGCAACCCTCCCATCTCGAGACTCCCGCAAATCAGCCAGAGCAAGCTAGTTCCTCTGCCACAACGGCGTCTGTGGATGTAGCCACTCCTGTACTAGCTGGTCTCTCCGCACCTGAGTTGGCCGCTTCCCAAGCTGTGGATGTTGATCTATCAGTGGTCTTGTCATGGTACAATGCAGTGAGTGGAAAATTTGTGCGTCCTCCTGAAGATTTAATTTCTGGCTCTAGTCGTACCATGCGTTTGTTCTGGGCGAATGCCGAGCAGCTAAGTCTCATTGACAGCGTTCTGTACATATCACCTCCATTTTCCGATCATGATCATGTCGGTACTGCACCCCGTCTTGTCGTCCCATTTGTGCTTCAACGCAAAGCTTTGCTGGCTGTTCATGCTCTTCCGTCTTGTAACCATCCTGGTGTAGATAAAACGTTAGCTCAAGCGCGGCTACGTTTTTTCTGGTTTGGAATGGCATCAGATGTTCAGGAGTTTGTGGCGTGTTGTGTCACTTGTACACAGATTCGGCTCAAGTCTGATGCCCAGCGTGCTCCGCTCCAGCCAATGTATGCCGGCTACCCATTTCAGCTCGTAGCCCTCGACATCGTCGGTCCATTGCCAGAGACACCCCGTGGTAATCGATATCTGTTGGTTATGGCTGATTACTTCACTCGGTGGGCAGAAGCTTTTCCACTCCACACTACTATTTTTCGTACGGGCGGCAGCACCTTTTTTGGCTCCCGAAAAGCGGCCTTTTTTGTAATTTCCTGGGCTTTAGGCCACCGGAAAAGTCCTTTATTTAGTAATAAAATGGCTAATAAGCCCGCTGCTGAAGTGGACATTGCAGTCCTGATCGACGGGGAGCTGAGGGACCTCATCAGGCAGCGTGGACTGGAAATCCCACGAAAAGCCACCAGACCCGATCTTGTTGCCCTGCTCAGAACATCGCTGGATGAGGACAAAGAAGTAAGTGAACCTACTAGCACGAGCCCCCTGGCTGCTAATGAGGGTGTTGTTGCCAGCCTGTGCTCAGCTCTGTCTGAACTCACTAATGTCGTCCGAGAGTTGAAGACTGAGTTACACGCCATGAGAGAAATAGAAGCTAAATTCAACGATTCTGCCAGAGAGGTGTTGTGCCTGAAGACGGAAGTACGGGAACTTAGGAACGACCTGCATGCCAAAGTTGAGAGGTACGATACGGTGATTCAAACTTTGAACAATGACCCCACTGAACCAAGCTTTACCAAAACCGTATCCTCCACCCCACAACATCGACCCACGTATGCAGAAACTTTGCACCAACAAC